AAGTATAAAGTTAGTTCAATCCAGGATCTGTGCTGATATATATTCTTTATTCTAAACCATCATCACAAAATCAGAATTACTGTTAAAATGTTTTGTGTTTATGTGAAATTAATATCGATGACCAGTCTATTGTTTCAGATCGTCTCAAATATTGTTAAAGATCTGCTTCAGCCAGGATGTCATGACACTCACCTGGATTTGATCCAGCGACACGTCAAAGACGAACGATTCGTTGAAATAAGGGTTCAGCGTCTTCTTTTTGATAGACGTCTTCTTTTTCTTCCACTTCCTTTTGTCCAGAGCTAGCTGCATCTTCACATAAGGATCTACAAACACAGCATGGAGGAAAGTCACTCGGAGCACCTATAAACTGTATTTCTTCATGCAGATGCATAAAATACCTGAGAAGAATTAAAGGGTTAAATAATAAGGTAAGCAGGAATCAAGAAACATGAATATTGTAACAGCTGTAACAGTATTGATGCAATCATGTCTGAATTGCATCAATAAAGAAATTTTAGATAATCAGCCTTTTAGTTAAGATATCCATTATGGCTTTCTTTAAATAAATATACAGCTTGATGTTTAAATTAAACATGGTCAGCACTGCTCAAACCTGTTTAAGAAGACATTTTGTTTAAAGGGGGAGGAGCTAAAAAGATTATGATAAGATGCATTAGACCCCAGTGTAAGATAAACGAAGCTGCTGTAGTCGAGTACAGCTCCCACAATATGAAGATTGAAATGACTAAACTTCTCCCATCTTCACTGTTTCTGTAGTTACTGCTGTCAACCACTGTGAGGCAGTGTTGTCTTCTGTTACACCTCCAGTGGATCACCCGTTGGTTTAATGGAGAGCAAATGTGTTCTTGGATTTGCTGTAAATTAGCGTTTTTGAAAAGTTACATTTTTGATTAAGATCCCGTCTCAGTCTGACCTGAGGTTCCTCCAACGTCCATGCTCTTCAGGTTTTTGGCCTCCAGGATTACCACAGTCAGCTTGCTGGCGGAGGGAACATAGCGCAGGGAGAAGCAGATCTCTCCTAGATTTTCTTCCTGCAGCACAAACGTCATACAGAAATCTGTAGTTCTTACAAACTGAATCAGCTCTGATATATTTCAGTAAACTGAAATGAATAAAAATGCAAATAAAAGGAGGAAGCTGAAGGAGAAAGTGACCATTATGAGAGCCTTGTGCTAGTGACAGTACAAAATGATTTAAATAATATTCACATTCCTCTTGGATAACCTGCAAAACCTATAACGTTACTAACAAGTATAAAAATAAGAATAATACGTTTTATCTTAAGCGCCTTTCAAAATATTCAAGGTTATATAGAAGAGTTTAAAAAATGTAAAAAGCCAAAAAAAATGTCAAAGTGAATAAAACAAATTTGCAGTATATAAAAATCATTAAGAACAGACGATGCATGTGACAGGTGGAAGATGGTCAGAAAGAGTAAGTCACTTTAAAGAAATGTGTTGGGATTTGAAAGTGGAGAGAGTCAGGCAG